ACAAATACAATTGTATTGACAATTAAAATTTATTAAAATTTTATTAACCTCCTGAAAAAAGAAAAAAACTAAATAAACTAAAAAAATTCAAAATTGAAATTGTTTGTTAACAGTACAATTATATTAAGTTCCTATATGAATTGAAAATATAAACAAATGATGTGAATTTCAAATATCTGCAATTATTGGATTTTCCATTAAAAAAAAATAAGTAAAAATCACTATATGAGAAATGGAGTGAATATCCAATGTTGTCAAAATTTCAACTTCAAATACTTATAAAAAATTAATTCGACTTTCCGGTAGAATTTTTTTTTTGGTAAAGGCATACAAACTTATAAGGAATCTTGTATTAAGTTTTAAAAACTTAGATATAAAACGAAACATTTTTATGAATTTCTAACTCAAAATATTTTGCACATTTTCGTGACTTTTACTTATTTTGTCAAAATTAAAAATTCAAACGCTTATAAAAATTTGTTGTCAACATTGCATGGTTTATTGAAAACGCCGTTATAAGTATTCAGTAAAAATTTCATGTATATCTACGGTATTTCTTTTTTTTGAAAGTTACATCAAAAACCAAAATCGATTTTGTCGAAAACCGGGTTTCCGTAAGAATTCGCTTTTTTCCTTAATTTTTTTTTTGGTTCGTTTTTTTCCTGCCGCTTTTGAAAACTATTGAGAATTTTTTACTATTGACCCCTTGAAGTACCGATACTATTCACATTTCTACCAGAAAAGATGCTTGTTGAAGAAAATCTAAGCACTTTTACTCTCCAAAATTAATGTGATGACAGAAACAAAAAAAATAAAAAAATAAATTGTAAAATCAATACATTCATCGCTTCGTTCGGAATCTAAAAGAAATTAAAAAGTTAAAATTTACATTACTTAAATTTTTTAACTCGTATACACCCAGGTTGGAATAACTACAAAATTGTAGAATATTTGAACGCCTGTGTCTATTATTTCATTACTATTTATTATATTATATAAATATACCTATACTAGTATAAAAGTATATTTTTCATAATCACTCGTACGGGGTGATTACTTTTTAGGATAGTGAGTTTACCACTCTATGGACATTTTTGTTTTTTGGATACAACTATAATATAATGTAATATTAATATATTATAATAGAACAATGAAATATATTTAACACTAAATTAATAGTGTCCTGTAACTGCTAACTTAGGATTTAAAAAAAAATATAAGTTATAAATTAAAATTGTGTCTTATGAGTAATCACTTATAACGGGTATTTCTAAATTAAACCGTATAATGAATGTCTATTTCAAGTACTTAAAAATAGGTTATAATTATAAAAAAACCCTAAGAACAGGGAGAAGAAAAACGACGACGACGAGCGGCGTTTGTATATTATTTGATCTCTCTTATTTTATGCATTTGCTCTCAGCAATAAAATATGTGTGTTCATAGGGGTAGCGTATTTTTCATGAAATTAAATTGTTACTTAAAAAATAAATTTGAGCACCAAAAAAGTATGAAACTAAAATTGAATACTTTAAACATCGAAGCTTTCGGGCTTGGCAGAATTCCTGATATAGTGTGTGCACTGCGGAATAAATCAGATATACGACTGAACTTAAGTCTGAAAATATTGAGATTTATTATGAAAAAAAGACCGTACGGATCGCTTCATGTTCCTTGTTCATGTCTGCAGCTTTGCTAACTGAAATTTTAGATCGAGTGCGTCTTTGCAACTACTTCGACAATCGCCACGGATGTATAATTTATACTACGTCAATATGATAAAACCATAGATATATAGTATATTACAAAATTGTATATCAAGGAGGTCCGTGTTTAAGATTTGATCATTAAGATATTGACATGAGGTATAACAATAACCAAAATAGTTAATAATTTTAAAATTTAAGTTACAACAATATATAAAGTACCTATTATTTTGATTTTTAATTTAATAATTAATTAAGGTGGTGTTTAAATATTCGAAGCACAAGCATATTTTTTTATGAGTTATTTAATAAAAATCTTATTGTAAATAAACGTGATTACCTACTACTTTTTAGATTTAACATAAAGGTATTCAGTGCCTAATGCATCACATTTACCGTATATACCGACTATACCAACTATAGTTTGTAAAATTCCAAGTCAAATCTTTTCTCTAAATACTGTCGATCACGAAATTAATAATTAATATTTAATGCATGAATTTTGAATACATTGGTTAGGTATATTTTAAGCTATTCAAGAATATTAAAAATTAAATTATTTAATTTCCGATGGATATTCAATAATCAGCAGAGCGACTAGGTATCCCAGCTTTATAAAATAATTTGATGTTTGATGTACGGCGGCGTCACTTTAATTCGCGGTTCGACCACAAGCAGACGGCATAGTAATATTCATATATTATTCAACATTTATATAAACTAAAAATAAAAATTATTGAATTTTGCCGGGACATAAGAACTCCCGTGTACTGTAGTATTACTAGTATGTACAACACTATTTATATCTATTTTATTGTATAAATATGTTATTATTCTGCGACTTGGATATGCCGTCGTCGTTGGTGCTATAAGCGTATTTTTTTGTGTTGCGCGCTCGGGAATAAAAAATATACCCCTACTCACCCGGGTAGCAAAATTGTCTGTGACAATAAATTTTAATTTTGAGACTAAAAAGTAAAATATGTAAGTCCCAAAAGAATATGTAATCAAACTTACGCATACATCGATTCTTCGAGTAATATATAGCTGCAAGGCCATATCTTGAGTGCAGACGCCATATTGAGGAAATTCTTTCTTCATCTAAACCCGAACTGAAAAAATTACTTGAGTAGAATGAAATATGTGAACAAAATAACAAATGTTTATTGTTGCCTCACACATTTCTCTTTTGTTCAATTAAATTATTAGAATTGTGAATCGTCTCCGACGAGTGATGACGATCGACTTTTGCCATAGATTATACTATGATAGATATTATAATATATTTTGTTGTTATCAGTTTTTGAGTTTTTGAATTCTTGGGATGACACGATACATGTGAAGTGTTTTAATATGCATTTTACAATTTTGATTTAGCGATTATTGTAAGTTTAGGTGCAGGGGGGTGTGGGTGGCTACCCCCCCCCCCCCCCCACAGCTCTGTGATGCATTCACAGATTTAGCACCCTGCGTTTTAGAGGTCTAATTGCGCCACTGGTTATATGCCTTATACAGCCTTTACTTATTTTGTAATATTATGTATAAATACTATATACTGCTAACATTCTAAGAATAACAGCTCGATAGATGATGGAGTCACACCGATTTGTGAAGGCGGGGGTTTATATTTATTTCCTATGCTACCCATAAATATTATTAATATATATTTATAGATATCAAGAAACACTGGCTAATTTAATATAGGTATAGTAATATGACAATTTATAAGTGATACGTTTATTGCTGTCCGTCGATGGTATATAAATATACCCGTTTCTTAGGGTCTATGATCCTATGAAATTATTTTTAAATTCAATTATTACAGTACTACAGTCCCCAAATACTACTCTCCAATTCTTCATTAAGCTTGTGAGTTACTTGAAAATTGTGTCAGATAAATTAAAAGTTTGAGAACAAATTATGATGAAATTATGGCTTCATCAAAAGTATTGTGTTTGAAATGGGGATTATCAACTCAACCTAAAAGCCGTCGTCGAGTGTTTTCTAAAAAACATTTTGATGAAATTAATCATGTAGACGAGGATAGAAGAACTGATATTACTGAAGACAATTTTCGAGTGACAGTGTTCTTACCTATTATTGATACTGCATTGTCACAATTACAAGGAAGGTTTGAAGGAATTAAGACAGTATGCAATAATTTTGAATTTTTAACTTCTGGTATGATACTAATCACTAATCAGAATTAACAAAAAATGCATATATGACTTTGTTCAGTTTTATTAAAACTACATAAGTTCTGATTTCCCTCGACAACTGCTATCACTTAAAGAAAATTTAAAAAATATGAAGTTGAAGATCATAGGAGATCTAAGTGATTTTTTTTTAGAATATGATCTTTGTTCAGTTTATAGTGACATTATGACTGCATGTATTATTTTTTTAACGCTACCAGTGACTGTAGCTTCTGCATAGAGCTCTTTTTCAAAATTAAAACTAATAAAAAATTACTTGAGGAATTCTACTAGCCAAGAATTAGGCTAGCTAGGTGTCTTGACTTATCAGTTAAAACGGGTATTTCTAAATTGAATCACATTTATTTCAAGTACTTATCTTTGTAGGTTATAATTATAATAAAATTATCCCATGATCGGGGACCGGAAAAAAAGACAATGGCGTTTATATTATTTGATCTCATGTATTTTATGCATTTTTCTCTCAGAAATAAAATATGTGTCTACTACACGTCTTGGGTAGCACATTTTTTATTTATTTTCTATTTAAATATTGACATATTGTAATCATTAATTTCACCTAGTGTAATTATGTAGTTATTTAACCTGTAACTATCTTATTGGTGTTACATTTGGAAATGTATTATTATACCTTTGTTTAACCAAATATAAAAATATCTTCTACATATTTATAATAACTAATAAGTATAAGGGTTAGAGACCCAGACAGAAATATTATAGATGTCAAACTCAGGCCTTAACGCAGAACTATAAAATGGTTAAGAAAATAAGAAACGTTGATGTATTACAGAAGTATTGAGACATAATTTATTATGGTACCTACTTAACATTAAATAAATAAATAAAGTTTTCACTTTTCAGTTCAAATTATTGAACATAATAAGTTCTTATAGGTTTCTTGTTCATTATATAATAATAATTTGGTATTGAGTGTATTATTATAAATATTAAATACCTACCAATATAGGTAACAATTATAAAAAACATATTTACAAATATAATTAATAATACCAAAAACAACACTAAAATATAAAATTATAAAATATAAAGTTTAAAAAATGTTTTTTTTATAGTACTATTTAATTAAAAATTTATTAAACATCACAATTATTATATTTGTAATCGTGTTGAAAAATAAAATACACAAGTAAAAGGTTGCTAGAAAATCCTAATAAAATCTTGAGTTAAAAAATTATAACATCAACTATAAAAGCATTTTTTGTTTTAAATCATATTACAATCTATACAATCCATAAGCCTATATAATAAACATGATTATATAATCCCTTTATCTTAAAATAAAACAATAAATATGACAATTGACAATATTATGCCTCAGAGTCAACTTTCCTAAGATCCATTTCTAGTTCATCAGCAGTTCTTAAATCAATGGCAAAGCGAGATTTAGATGTTCCAGTACTACGTACTTTCCTGCTATATGCCTATAAATAATTAAAAAATTAATATCCATTCATTGTTTGGACTACATTTTAAATTAAAGTTTAAATTAATTGAATATTTTATAAATAATACAACACATTTATTTTGAACAAAATATAATATAAAAATCTATTAAAAAGCACTAAGGCGGTATAAAAAAACATTTCTTAAATTTAATTTGGAGGGGAGAAATCAAAATTTAATAACATGCATTGAATTGACACAATACTACATTATTGGTATGACAAAATAGATCTATTTTTCCTAAAAATGTACAGCTTATTGCTTTTAAGATGATACTATTATTTATTAGTAATTACTAATTAGTATACCTAAAACAAAACGATATCAGGTAGCTAGGTATAAATAGTTATAAAAAAAATTATACTTTTCAAATATTTCAGAATATTATATCATAAATGTTATTGCAATAATAATAAACAATATATTACAATATTACATAGGTACCAGGTACCTACTATATTATCTATCTTATATTTATATGTATGTAGTACCTACCTAATAGTCAATACTCACTCAATAGGTAAATGCATTTTTAAATTATTTAATTTTAACTATTTACTACCACACAATTTATAACACTGGTTATTATATACCTATTTTTGTTAATTTACATAAAAATTAATTACTTGAAACGCCGTAGCTAATGTATAGGTCAAATTTCTTGCAGCTTGACGGCTCTCACAGACAAACGCCACACAATCGAATGGTTTTCTGTCCGCACTAATTTGTTCTTTAACGACTATCATGCAGAAAACTCTTGTGTACACCAAATCCTATAGACAAGATATTTATTTATTTTTACTTTTACCAAAAACAAATAAATATGGAGTGTTCATAAAGCTACATAATAACACAATCACAATAGATATATAATTATAATTAATATATAGTGTAAGGTAAATGGTAGTACATACTTGAACGCCGTAAGAAACTGTGTGAATGGGAAAAACTTTTTTAAATTTGTCTCCGATAATTTCACATCCGTCCTCAGTGATTCGTAGTTCAACTTGTGGCTGTAAGGGTGTTGACGAACTCTTAGCTTTTGCTACCATCAGATCAACTGGTTTCCGCGTGTGTTTAATTCCCCATAAACCTCTGGCCTCGGAAGATCCGAGTTCCCTAACCGAGAACGATTGGGGAAGGCGTTGATATCGTATGTCTTCGTCCATCACGGACAGTAAATGTAGAAATAATGTATAAACAATAATGCTATTATTATAATAGGGGTACGTGATTTTGAAAGTAATAATTATAATTTATAAGACACTCAAAACGTCATTGTACGAGGTATGAAACATCAAGCATTTGCATCGAAACTAGAAAACACCTACGATGAATAAATTCGAAAACTAATATTATAGTTTAGTATTACACATCCTAACACTCAAGAGTCAACGCACGAATGAATTCACCTGTCACCCGTAATACTGAAGGTAACACAATAGGTAGGTAGTAATTTACTGCCCAACTGCCATCTGCTATCGGATTTCCTGTTTCCTGTTAGGTACCCACCAATAGCTATATAGTGTTTAATGGTCATATATTTGACATTCTGTATTTAGTAGGTACAAAATAATAATTTTTTGATACAACATACAAAATATAATAGAGTAAAACATTTGTTTTTATGTTAATTGTTTTTCATAACCTGTGACGAATGTCACCTACAGCAGCAATTGCGACAATATTATAAACTTTTATTTTTATAACCCAAAAGCATTATATTAATTTAATGTCAATTTCATAATTTCTATTTTTAGAAATAATATTTTTCGGGGTTTTGAATGTAGTTAATTATATAAGATAAAAATATAAAACATAAATATTATTTGAATTAATATTATTTTGATAAATGATTAGGTATTTAGTATTTATCATTTAATGATAACACTAATATTAGTCTGGGACTCTGGATTAGTTACTATGACTGGGTTAGATAGTTATTATATGTAAATATTATTTTTTTAAATAATTATATATTAAACAATAAATTATTTTTTTAGTTACATTAATGTTAATGTTAATTATTTCCTATATTATAGTTAAATTCCTAAATCAAACATCCAGTTGAGAAACTTAAAATAAGTGCCTACCTAGAGTACTATTATTTACCTTTCCATTTTTTCCATAAACCTAAACAGCTCAACTCTTTAATCAGTAAACAATAGTCTCCTAAAGTATACACTATTCTCGAAATTAAAAGCAGGTACCAATTTTTTTAGATTTAGATTTCTGAGTAAAATGATGAATGTATTGTCTTATTTGACTTGACAATAATGTGTTTTTTTTGTGTCTGTGTACACGAATACACGATAGTCGATAAGTATAATGAGTAGAAATAATAAGTCTGTAGATGAGTTACAACTTTTATTTTGAAAAATATGTCTTTTATGTGTTGTTTTAGTAATTACTATTTACCCATGAGATTGATGTCCCCAACCTCGGAAAAACCTATATTATAAAGACTAGAGACATTCGACGGTATACTTCGCATCAATTATTATTGGATGTTTTATTATTGTTATGTTATTTTTTTGATTTGTAGCAAGGTGATGTAATCCCGTAGATGAATAATACAAAGATATTTAATCTCTAAAAGGTACTGCAAATACTGTAGAGTGTAGATTATTAATTATAAATAGATAATTCAGACTTTTTTTTAAATTATATAAATATTTTATTGGTAAGCCAGAGGGGGGAGGGCTTTAACAAATACGGCCTTCGGTTTATATTCCTTTTTTCGGATTATTATGGTAACGACGGTTAAGAGCAAAGTTACCGCTGCGGATAAAGTATATTTATGAATATGGGTCAAAATAGAAAATTATTATTCATTTCTAAAAGCGTTAGGAAAAATTGGAATTTTTACTCAAAATCGGTTATAGACAAAATCGATTTCGATTTTTGGTGTAATTCTAACAACAATTACTGAAGAAACATTACATTTTTTTTAAATATTGAATATTGATTAAACACATCTACCATGCAGTGATCCATACGAGATACGACAACTAATGTAGAGCAGAGTGGTATCCTCATGACCAATTTTATTTACATTTTTTTACCATTCTGTAAATTTTATTTAACTTTTTGTTTGAGTAATGAGTAATAAATTAACAAAAAAAATGTATATATGCTAAAAATATATTCATATATAGGTACAGATTTAAAGAATCCAAGATTAGAGGTAGCACATTCTCATGCTAGTGATCCACACATTGATATTGTTGAAAAAGCAAAAGAAGAAATGAAAACCAATTTAAAATGTCAAATACACCTTACGTTTTCGCAGAAGTGGTCAGTAATTTCCCAAAGGAAATCACCGTAAAAAGAACATTGCATAGTATTGTAAAGGTCAAATGTATAAAAAAAAGACACAAAATCTATCAGAGCTAAGTAGTATAACTGGTGACTGAACTTTATATAAAAATAAACGCTTTGATGGTGATGACCAGTGGTCGAAGTGGCTCAAAATAAGTGGAGGGATGCCTTTCATAATTTATATAGTTCTTATATATTGCTTAAAGTCATACAAAACAAGTGAAGGGACAAGAAATATGAATTATAAAAAGTTGAGGGATGCCATCCAACCATATTCCATATGCCGTCCCCCCACTTCAACCACTGTTGACAGACGCACTAAAAAAAGCTCATGACCAGAATCTAAATAACCCAGTTCAAAATTATTTTTAGCTTTAAGTTCAACAATATTTTTATGAAATTACCCCTTACATAAATTTTTATATCAAATGATTTATATTTGAGGCAATTAAAGAACGAAAGTAGAGGATTGAATATCCATGAAAAAATAAAAAGTTTGCAATACCAAAATGTAAACCTAATTATGCCACTGGGCATATTATGAAACAGTTTTAAAAATGTGTAAACATTTATTCAGAAGAAATTTGAAACACTAATGCTGGGCTGCATGAAAAATGTATTTATTTATTGGTATAATTTTTAATGGTCCTATCATGGGTCACTAAATTATGTTTAGGGGACCTTTAGCTCATTATAAATTTGTGAGACATTTTAGAGTTAAGACAATGTAATTTCCCTGTTAGGTTTTTCATTCTGTTGGCTCAAACATTTAAATTATATTTATACTGACATAATAATGTAGTAAACTATAATTCGTACATTTTAGACATACATAAAAATATGATATATTATAATATATTTAAGTTAAAAGCTTTTTTTGTGATTGAATTTTTTTTTAAAACTATCTTTGCCCCTTCTGCCGCCCAATAAAAATCTAAGGGGCCTCATGCATACAAACAATATGATCAATTTATTGAATAATGAATGTATGCTCTACCAACAACTTCCTTTAAAACCATTATACTCTGTTCACGATAAGTACGCAACTCGGTGGGGAATGCGCAAGAATTTTTCTCTAGTTTATGTCGCTGCTAAGTTGCGTTCTAATTGTGAACAGAGTATAGGTAAAATGGTAAAATACACTCCAAGTAAAATATTTACTGGCGCAGAACTATAATTTTGCCTAAGTATAAAAATGACAAAATAATTGCCCAGCTTGAGATGTTACTCTTATTCATGCTGTATATTATTATTAAATTTGATTATTTGAATATTTAAAACAATAGCTTTTTAACAAAGAGTTATCTATATTTTAATACTTTTGTTCTGAAATAATTATTTAATTAATATTTAATTTTTCATTCAATCAATAACAGTGTGAAGATATTATTAAGAAATCTAACAATACAAAATAAATTAATACAGTAATCTCGCTAAACTGCAAGTAATATGATTTTAATAACTAACATTTTTTATCTTTAACATTTTTTTTTACATTTTATTTTCAGAATTATATTATGCATGTAGTAAAACATATTGTAATACATATTGTTTTATAATGAAAAAAAACTAAACACATATTTACTATGTTGATTATTAGTATTAGCGGTATAGATGATCAGCATGTATGTTAGCCGCAATTTCTGATTCCCATTTATCACCATTATTTAATAACTTTTCCTTGTTGTACAAAAGTTCTTCGTGAGTTTCGGTAGAGTATTCAAAATTTGGACCCTGAAAAAAAGGTTTACACATATTAAGCTATGGATAGATGAAACTATAACTATTAAATTTTACTTCAACAATGGCATCCACGGGACATGCTTCTTGGCAAAAACCACAGTATATACATTTAGTCATATCAATATCATAACGTGTTGTACGGCGACTTCCGTCAGCTCTTTCTTCTGCTTCAATAGTGATAGCCTACACAATCATACATAATATATACATACAAAATATATGTCAGTAATAATTATATCATTAATTTTACTTGGGCTGGACATATAGCTTCACATAGTTTGCAGGCAATGCATCTCTCTTCGCCAGATGGGTAACGTCTGAGAGCATGTTCTCCTCGGAAACGTGGTGACAAAGGTCCCTTCTCAAATGGATAGTTGATAGTTGCTGGTTCCTTGAAAAAATGAGCCAATGATACAGCAGCACCTAAAAATTAAGTAGTGTTTAGGATAACAATCATCGGTGCTTTTCAGCAAGTGCCAAAACATATTTGACATTGCTTGGATTCAAACAAAAATATACAATTTATCAGAATTTTTATAACCAAAACTCTGTACATCAATTATGGCTAAATGATATTTTTTTTTTGGGGGGGGGGGGAGAGTTTTTAACATACACTATTTGATAATTTAAAACATGATTTATGATTATAAGATCATACATATTGAAAAAAATGTCATGGGGATCTACCTCCCCCCCCCCCATCGTTGATTGACCACCATTGCTGTAAGTGCTCCAATGACACATACCAGACACACATGCAACAACATTTTTTTTTAATTTTTACAAGAAATATACAATCTACACAGTTAAGCACAATAAGTATATGTGAGATTGGGGTAACAAGCATTAAGGGGTTACGTGAGTAAGAAGCCACCCATCGGTAGTACTTAGCTTGTTTATTATGTGATTAATTACAACTTATTAGGATGAAGTTAGATGATCCCTACACCATTTCCTTTTCAGCCTGCGACGGGGATTTCCAGGAAGTGACGGGATATGTAAGCCTTTTATTAAAGGATTTACATGGTTTTCTAATTTATTATAGAATCATTTATAGAAAATAGCAGCTTTTCCCTCTACTGTTTTAAATAATAAGTCTTTGTGTAGGGTTATGTTAGAGACTAATGGTGGTGCATTTGTGATTTTGCGAAGGGTAATATTTTGGAAGGCCTGAATTTTATTTAGATTTGATTTTTTTGCCGATCCCCATAGTTGAATTCTATACGTCCATATGGGTGCAACAAAATTTAAAATGATTTTGCAAATTTACCCTGTTGCATCTTTTAAAGGTACAGAAAACAAAATGTGTAGGATGTATCCCATCAAGAGGACATTATTCACCCTTTCAACCTGTAATTCAAGTATAAATTCCCAATATGTGTCCTCTGTATATTACAGCAGAACCTCGATCATCTAAACTAAATACTTAACTTTGTCTATATAAAGGAGGGAAATGTAACTTCATTTTTCATGAGTAGTGATAAATATAAGTATACATTTGTATTGAAATGTATTCTTTACAATTTACTTTTGATTTCAAAAAATAATGAATAACTCAAAATCAAATTTTGGAACATATTATGTTATTAATTTAAAGTCCTTTATGTAGGTACATATTTACTACGTATATTTAATATATTCATACATATCATGAAAAAACATGCATAATATTATATGATATTGATAATATATACATTTATTATAAATACATGACTATGCGTACGAGTACTAAAATGTGTATAATTGACATTTTCGGATAATAGAGGGTTCTTATAATAGAAGTTTCACGTATGTTTATACCCTAAATAAACTTTAAAAAATAAAAATTAACCCTTGGTATGTGCTCATAATAATTCATATAAGTAAATTACAGTTACCTCTGCATAATTCAGTAACAAATGCATAGGAAATAGCTTGATCTGTCATGGCTCCCCAACTTATATTTTCAAATTCATTATCCCTGTTTACATTTACATATTTGATTTGCGATGCTAATCTAACTGGAACCCGAGTAGATGATCGCAAAACTGCATTACCTGTAACAACAATGCACACAATAAAATATAATAATATTGTTAACTACTAATAATTAAATTAAACGCATGTAACTACCTAAATACCAAAAATATTTGTTCATAATTAAAATTACAAAAATGTAACACATTTATTGTAGGGATATATAAATATATATACATAAAATATATATTATATGAAATGATATTGCTTTTAAAAATAATACCTACTAATTTTAGGTAGTACCACTGTGGTTAAGGTGAAATAGGTCAATTGGTACATACTCTAAAAACAAATAACTACTTACTTTATTTTAACTTTAATTAATAATTAGAACATAAAATATTGAATAGTTTTTATTGTAGTTATAAGAAGAAAATCATTTTTGGTTGATATATAGTTTTGAGTTTTATCATTGAAATATGTGGTAATTACATTTTTATAAAAAATAAAAACTATGAATTCTTACCAGCTCTTGTTAATATTGCTAAATTCATAGTGAAAGAGTTAAACGACCAAACAAAAGAATATGTAATCGTCTAAATACTTTCGAATTTTAAGTAAAAAAAATAATTAAATAATAACTTTTGAAGGAGTTTTCTAGTGTAGGTAAAATTATAAAATCGTCCTCAGGGCTCAAATCTATGATTGATAAGCTATCAGCAATATTGTTTCTAACTTCATACCACTGTTTCAACTACGGATATTACACATAGATAATATATCATGGATAGGACATATTGGTCTTATCAGCCGCGGTCTTCGAGGGGAACAATTGAGGCCAAATAAACCGTGTGTTCCTAAATTCATCAGATTGGTCAGCCGCTGGAGGGGAGGTAATCAAGCCGATTGACTTATCAGCAATCTGCTATTCTAAAGGATGGACTGAAATGAAACCCGATGGATTTGATAACAATATGCAAAAGTTTAGGAACACACGGAAAGTATACCTATATCGAGTATCGACTATCAATATAAAGGAGCCTCAATCGCCTTCCCCTCCGGGAACGCGGCCTCAAATGTATTTAACATAGGCGTAGCCTATCCATATCTTTATTATCTATGGGATATTATTAACCACAGATTATACCACGATTTAAGATAATACACAGGTTACTCAACGTTGCATAGGTAGCACCGTCCGCCACCCAATGTCCAATGACACTAAATAATGACAGTAAGTAAAATGAAAACAAGTGCCAATTTGTAGTTTGTACAATTGCAATTGAGTTGCTATTTTTAATATAATATAAATTACATATTATTATTAAATAAGTACACATACAAAGGTAAAAACAATAATGTTATGATTGTTATTATAAATTGTTATAAAATACAGCAGAACCAATTTGTTCTATTATCCAAGACTATAATTGTTGTTTAGCAATTATAATGCACATTTATTTATATTGGTATTAATATTATTTGTAAATTAAAAAATAATAATTAATAATTACCATTTTCCCTCCAAATATTTAAGCCAATCGGAGACCTAAACTCAATCATAAGTTATATTTTGAGTGCAGAACGGTAATATGCCCTTGATACAAGAAGTATTCACCAAATTACAACAAACAATGGATATAATGAACTTAGTCAATTCAATTGTATTTATTTATTCTAATGAACTAATAAGTAATAACTAATAAAACAAAATATGAAATACCTACAATTCAAAGATTTTCTTAACTTTAAATAGATTGTCACATTTTAAATTTATTTATTTTATAATAAATAAAAACACAAAAATAAATAAATTGGTAGGTACATTGTTAAATCTGTAAAGTTAAAAAAAAACGATGTTCAATTTGTCAATATTTTATATTAACAATATTATAATGTATGGTATAAAAGACATCAGATAGGTAAGTATATATTTTAGTAGACATTTATTTGGTATATTTTTAATATTGTTCATAGTTGTAAAAAAAATATAAATCAGTCATAGTTGATGTAGACTTATTACTAGTTTTATTATATCTTATAAATTAACATGTAATATAGGCACAGTTCATTCAACAATCAGTATTTGTATCGAATATATTTTTGTTTAGTAATGTATAATCTCCTTGAATTTGTTTTAAATAATTTGCCGCCCTCACAGTAATATTTAATGCAGGATTTATAGGGTTTAGGTTTTCTTCTCCAATCAAACTTAATCCACACAAGCTTAAGCAGGTATGCATTGGATCTGGTATGGAGTCCATGTTTTTACTAAACCCACCGGTCAATAAATTAGCATTATTTAGAACAAAATCTCTATTTCTCTCTTTGTTTATTCTATTAAGTGATCCCATAATACTGAGTGTTGCACCCAACCAAAAGGAATAACAAGTGTCTGGATCTTTATTAGGTCTTCCTTGAAAACCACCATTAGTTTGTCGATTTATTGCCCAGCGCTCTAATATTCTGGATTTATTTTCATCTAACACAAGATTTAATTTATTTAATAGAGATAAGGACGCAATTGCACAGTAAGTAGAACCACCGTGCGATTCAGTTCCTGGGTTTTGTCCAAACGCTCCATCATAGTTCAGACAATTTGAAATGAATTTAATGGCATTATTTACATTGATACTTGAAGAATCGTTCAATATGTTACATATTGCAAGTGAACAGTACACAAATCTCAAATCACTCTCACCATGTTCATAGTTGCTTTTGAAACTGCCATCAGATTTCTGCAGAGACGCTACACCTTGAAGTACGGCCGATTTATTGACACGGCTCAGATCGTCACCCAATGTAATCAGAATACACAATGCCATGTACGTCATAGCAACATTGCTTTCGCAATACTTTTCACAGCCTGGATGATTCTTCAAATGAATGACGGTGGTAGAACCCATGAAACCACATTTGTGCACGGAACAATATTCATTGGGTACTAACTGTAGCCTGTACACCCAGTCAATGATGTCCTTCTTGCGGTCATCAGTGAGTGAATCTAAGCCGTCCAATATATCTAAGCCAATGAGCGCAAAATACAGTATGGTGAGCCGCGAGTAATCAAACACAGCAACCTCGCCAGGCAACAGGTCCAACGAGCGGCGAAAATACTTCTTGTGCTGTTCGGGTTTCAACTGTGGTTTGTTCATCTTGAGGTTGGACTTAGTGAGTGGGGGTAAGCCAATATCAGCTTGCAGCCGACAGATGATGATTCGAGGACATAATTTCACGGTGGTATCGTCTCAACAGAGAAGTAAATTCGCACAATCGTACCGATAGTTTTTGATGTTAACAAAATTCCTAAGAAATAGAAAAAACAAAATATCAAAAAACTCGAAGACTTGTCACCATCACAGGGTGGTGATCGTTAATTTAAATTCGTTATATTACCACTATCCACTGAGTACAGCTCCAGATTTCAGACTTGTCTCACTTAACACTAGTATATTACACTATAATATGCGCCTAGTATTCTTGTTTATGACAGTTGACTTTTTCATAACACGTACAGTAAAGTTGTAGTGCTTGAGTACTGAGTGCAGACTGACTACTGACATAGGACATAATGTTTTATTTCTATGCTACTGACTATACCACTGTCTATAATGTTCAGTAATCACTAATCTGTAATCTGTAATCTGTATATTAATAAAATATATTATCTAAGCTCATACCACAGACTGACTGTAGTAGTTATGCCCATGATGTTATGTCATGTCGTGCGATCTTATACTATCATCGTTTTCAACACAAAACCGGCTACATAACCAAAATAACGGTAGAGCGCGACACCATCACTATATACTTGTTAATATTGTGGCGACTCTTGCACCACAATATCATAGATAAATAAAATCTATGGTAAAGTCACAGAATAGATTAAATCTATTTAACCTATTCTGTGGTATAGACGTATAGTGTCTATAATATCTATAGTACCTAACTATTTTTTTAAAGTTTTTTACTATTTTGAATAAAACCTTACATTTTTTAATTCATTTTCTAGACTTCTAGGTACTTTATAGAAATCAAATTTCGGACAAGTAGTTTACTAATTATAAGTATTTTAAGTTTAGATTAGTAGAGTAATTGACAACGTTTTGAGGATATCTATTCGAGTGCTCCTTTACCAATATTACCAATATTACCATTCTACTCCACTGTCTCCACTCATCAAACTTGAAATGCTTATAAGTTATAACTAGGGCAGAGGACTTGTAGCATTTGCATATTTGTTATATCCAATCACGAAAATTGCAGGGTAAGATACAAATACCTACTCTATAAAATTAATTATCTGCAGATTTCAGGTAAGACTTGTAAAGTTATAACTTACAAGGTAGGTATAACATTAATATGGTACCTACCTAAAAATACATTGCAGCAATTTATGTATCTGGCTATAATTGAATTAATAACATTTCCGTTTGGATGCTAAAAACGAAATAATATAGATAAATATAATATTTTGGATCATAGTAACGAGATTTGCTTATTCGCTCTAAAATTTTTAAAATTAATTATTTACACCAACTACAATCAAATCAAAATCGGACAAACTTAAAGAGAAACGTTGTCGTATTGTACACAGCCGGGGAACGTCCACTTCGTAGAACTACAATGGCACTTAAAGAGACATATTGCAAGAGAGGACTGTCGGATAGAAATACCATTTGGCCGACGGCGGGGGGGGGGGGCGTGGACCTTTGCGATGACGTTCTCGTTGGGCTATTGCGATGGCGGCTTAGCAAGCAAAGTTAGTACACCTGTACTACAGTAATGTGACAGAAAGCAGATCAGCCGGACGAGCTTGACGGCGATGAATATAAAATATGGTATGCAGCGGCACTTACAGCAGCCGTAAACACGGGAAAAGGATCAGGATCAGCAGGATGAGTTTGAAGATCAGCCATAGCTGAAGGACCACCGAGAGCATATTATTTTGTAATGAAAATGCTACCCGCCAGTGTTCGTTCTGTGGTTGGGCAAGCAGGGATGGATCAGCACAATACTTTCAAAATTGTAGTAAAATACAAAATACATTTGATTTTAACGAGTACCTAATTGCCAAATACATGGTACTTACTACGGATACAATTGAAAAAATACATTATTAAATAAAAGCAAATTTTGAAACATCAGCTTAGGTATTTTTTTTTTTTCAAAAGCCCAATATTTCCAAAAACGTTATAACTTAGTCTGAGTTATAAAAAATGTATTCAAGCGGTCCTAAGTCCTTGTATCAAAATGAATAAAATTGAGTCTTAACCATACGTTAGGTTGTGGGAAAAACTAAAAGTATAATCTTTATAAGTATGATCTTGAGTATGATCTCAAAATTTGATCTTTATAGATCGAAATACATAGAATAATATTTTGCTTCGGAACATGAAATTCAAAATGTATAGTTGTGTCATTCCTAAAAGTAAAAAACTAAACAAATTATAAAGATGCAAAATTGGGAAAATTAAAATTTTTCAGAAATATTGTTTTAAATGATATCAAATTATTAAAAAATGTTGAAACTTCAAAAATAATTATGAGAGTATAGACAGTAAACTCAACTTAACCTAGTAAACTTAATACTTAAATGGATCACCCTATACACAGTATTATACACTTTATAATTATTTATAATAGTTCTTACTAAATGTGTTCTTAAGATATTAGTTTATCTATTATTTATCTTTGAAGACCATCGTTAATGATATGAATAGATAAATGAAAAAAGGTTTATTTACTACGTGTTTTTCTTATAAAGAGAGCGGGCTCCATGCACTTCTTACCACTGAGATAAAATTATCCAGGAAGTAAACATCAGATCTCAAATAACAGAACAATACTGATCCATGCAAATTAACAATTCGATAGTCATAGATGATATATTTATACAGTAGCGCAATTTCAATGAAAAAAAGAAGAGGGTAACGCTATGCTTTACATTAGCCAATAGGTGTCTAGGCTCTATAAAGAGTACAGAGAGTCATTGTAATGAAGTGTTCAATTTGAATTCAACGATATGAAATCGTTGTAAACGAAAAACGGTTTTGAGCAAGTCGGGCTGTCAACCTATATAATATTACTAAATGCCTACTGGGAATATTTGATGATATTAATATTATTGTGATTAAAATAATTTATTTTACTATTAAATATTTTAGACATTGGTACTATAAAGTAGGTTAACTAATTTTTACCGAAAAAATTATATTTTAAAATATCATTGTGTATTTGTGTGTATAATTTAGCCTCTAAAATGGGGAGATGCTGAAACCTCTTATTTTTTTTCAGTTCATTTATACATGTATGTTTAATATAATATGGTTTGTAGAATATTTCAAAATGCACGATAGGTATGTATTATAGTTATTATTATATTATAGCAATTATCAGTGCAACTCAGTGCAAGCAAGCGACCGTTTAGCACCTGGCGCTGAAGATGAACGAGCTCGTGAAATCAGCAAAGGGCAAACTATTAACTATTAATCGCTTACACAGGCCGGTATCACGAACTCGCTACCATAGATAAAATACGTATACCACGACTGTAATCTGGCGTCCACTGGTCAGTGTTGTAGTCGACTATCCGAGTGGCGAGTACTCGACCGTCTCAAGGACGTCGCCGAAGCAACGGTCGATACACCGATCTATAGACAAGTTACTAATACCCGCCGCCGCCACTAGTCGTCGCATCGGTCCGTGCCGTCACTCGTGATTCGTCGCGTTTATCAATCAATACGAAAGCCTCGAACTCCCAACTCCCAAGCACAACTGCACAACTCCCGACGTACGTGCACTGCGTCGCTGCTCAATCCAGTATCCGTTCCACAGTCCGTTCGTCGTACGTATTTTGAGTCTCAGTCGCTGTCGCCGATCGTGTGTCGTTGCTTTTGCCGAGCTTTCTCCCTCGTCGTCAAAAATTGAAATAAATGTCATTATCGCCGTCCACTGATTCGAAAGTTACATAAAATTATTATCCAGTCGCCCGCAACTGTTACTACCACTACGACGCAGTAAGTGTACTTATTTTTTCATTTGACATTACCGAATACCTACCCCGTGCCCAGAACAACGAGCGAACACAACAAGCCAAGGTATCGTAGCTCGCCAGCTCAGTAACTGTAGTTGCCACTTCTAGCTTTCTCCTCGTCTCTCTCTGTCTTTCAAAGTTTCGAACAAGCTCATGACGACCGATTGCGTGCGCATCCCCCGCCAACCATTGCTCCAGGTACGATGTTCACTCATCCAACGTGTATTCACTATTCAATATTGGTGTTTGGTTTAGGCAATAGCTATTATTATTGTTTACACGTCCTATGTACTATGCACATGCTCGTAGTTTTTACATTAAACCTGTTGAGTATAATTATATAATGTAATTATATAATGCGTCAATGTACCCACCAGCACCAGTTGTCGATTGTTTGTTTACAATACGGTGACTATAATATAGTGCCTATGCTGAGCTCAGCAGTACAATGTGCAACAATAATATTATACTAACTGTTTCAGTTCACCTAGGTAGGTACTTTAAATACAGATTCTTTATATTTTTTTTAAAAGTCATATTACACTTGCACATTTTTTTTTTGTACATTGATATATGTATAAATGTGGGGAGGTTTTCCATCACATTCCCTCATGCCACTTCTCTATCATTGCAATGTTAAAAATAATTGCCCTACATTTTTTTTGTAGGTACCTACCTAATAAAATCATATTTTTACCAAAATGCAGTCTGGTTTGGTACTCTGTTTTTATCTTACAAAACCTTATAAATTATTCTTATGAAACACAAAATAATTACCTGAGAGATGTTTAATTTAAAAATGAATTGAACCAAAACTTTACTTCTCATTAGCCTACATGGCTACATGTTTGGACTTGGTTCCAGGAAAACACCTTCATACTAAAACTACTATTTATTTTAAGTCAAACCTATGAACTATAACTTGACCATACTGTTGCCTATTTTATACCTAATATAGTAATATGTATATTCTGTAACAGTGGCGTGGAGGACTTCATTAAATTATGAGGCACAACAAATTATATTAATAATTACTAATTATAAAAACTAATATTAGTAATTAGTTATTTATGTATGCTAAGTGAGAACAATTTGCTTAGTGTTCACGTAAGTCTTAAATTATATGTGTCTCTATAATATCCAGTACACCCACCACCTTTTAAACTGAGGCACATGCTTCAATTTACATCCTTCGTCACGCCACTGCTCTGTACACTTATATAGTTATGCCTTATTTTCTGATACATAATATACACACTTATCAAATTCGCTCACTTGATACTTCCAATTTTGATTACATACTGTGTAAGGGTTCTAAAAAATAGATAGTACTCAATTTTTAATTTTTGAGAACATTGCTGGATTTGAAATTATTTATGAAATTACCTTTTTTTCTTTTGATATGACTTGAAAAAATTTAAATGTTTCTTATTCTAATATAAAATTACCTGCCAACTAAATTTACAAGTCTAAAATCATAATTTTTGTATGTCATTTTGTGCAAAACAATGTGTTTGAAACCTTTTGAAGTAGATAGTGGAATAGATATTTTATTAATTACTGTTTTATATTTAATTAGTATTATCATGGTTAAAATGTATATTTAGGTGACTATTATTAAAAGACAGTTCAAAGAGCAGTTCAAGGACGTTAATATAATATTTTATTTTATTATGCTTTGTTCAAACGTCTCATAATAAAATAATCTTGCCTTATCTTAGTTTTAGTTGTGTGTAGGTAGGTAAATATTAAATGATTATTTTTTTACTATTATTATTATTTTCTAAATTACCTAATTGTTTCAACAAATCTTTGTTTTTTCAATAATTTTAAAAATTACAAGTTTGGTAATTATTTTACTATTATTGTTCTATATTGTTACAAATTGAAATGTAAAGTTTAATGTAAAAAATTGTCCTTAATCTATTTATAATATTTTATAACAAATATAAACTGAATTTATGCAGAAATTACCTAGATATTATTCAAATAAATTACCAGTATTAAAGATTATGTGTATCTACAAATTACTTAGGTATCTATTAAAAATAGGATTAACAGGAATGAATATTTTTTTATCTACTTGTTTAATTTATGCACATTTATAATAGGTACTTAAATACAGAATATAAGTATTATTTTTAGTTAAGAACTAATATTTGATTCTCTACTACAGTCTACATGTATGTTATTTTTTAAGTACCTAGGTACTTAAATGTAATCCAAACTCCAGAAAAACCCTGTGAATGAACCTCCTCCATCTTTCTATGGACCAATTAGTCTCATCCCCGCTATCTCTGAAATATTTGAAAAAATTATCCTTAAAAGACTTACCATTTTTAGAATTATACATCAACTCCACCATACTGTAAACATAGCAATACTGCAATATTATGCACATAGCACTGTGACTCATGATTGCTATATTTTTAAAACTGTAATTACTTAGGATATTATCAAAATATTGAATTTAATACTGTATCATAATACATCATGCATTTTTGTTAGGTAATCCTAATTTCTATAATAATAGTATCATATGAATGCAAAATACTGTAATTGGTATTCCAATAACCAATTTTCAATTATTTATATTAGATCATCATATTGTTTAAATGTTTTCAGATGCAAACTCAACAACCTCCTACTAACTCAACATTCAAATTTATTGAGCGCCGTAAAAATGAATGGCGTTGTCTACTTTGTTGTCACGTCAGAACGGGAACCATTTTCCTTGGATTATGGCATTTGGTAATAGAAAAAAAAAATTATTTTTAAAATTAATATTTATTTATTTGTTTGCTTTATAGATGTTACAATTACTTGCAATAAGCACGCTTGGAGTGTTTTTGCGACATCCAGAATTATTAAAACCTGTTCAGATAACAAGAACTTCAATAGACCATAATGAATTACCAACTGCTTTAGCTGAACGTAACATTCCAACTTTTAATGTTAATTATGTTTCAACTGATGGCTCTTCTGCGTTATCAAACTATGATCAAGATGATATGATTGAACCTACAGTCGGAGGTACAAAGGGTGAAAGATATTCTTCATTTGGAATGTTTATGGGACGTCCATTGCAATTAGGTAAGAACTGAATTTATCCAACTTTAAATTAGTGGATTTTGAATGAAGTATGTCATGGATGTTGTAGTAAATAACCAATCTATTTAATTGACTGCGGTATATTTAAAAATTATAAATTTCTTTAAGGTATCATTTTATTTTTATTTTTAAATAAACAAATTATGACTTGCTGTACTTAAAGGTTCCATTTTTGTATATTTGTATATTATAGGTATACTGAGAATTTTAGTTTTACTAAAATGTATTTTAAAATGAACTGATAGAGATATTTTCTTTATAAGTTTACAACAAATCAAAAAAATGTTATCTTATATTTTACACAACTCTACTGAATAATATTTTTAACATAATATCTTATTCTACATGTATTTAGTATTGATGCAATTGTATCTATAAAACATTTATTTTACAGTTTTGAATACTACTAGAATCTCGCTAATCCTCACTAGATGGAACCGGATTTTATCTGGATTATCAAAATCCGGATTAAACGGAATGACGTTTTTTTAACTTACTATTAAATATAAACAAAAACAACTTATGTATTTATACAAATTTAAAATTTATTGATTGTCAATTTTACACTGCACATTATTATTGTTATTATTATGATATATGTATTACATATGTACGTATATCAATACAAATTTAAAGAATATTAAAGAAAATAAAACTGAACTCACTTGTAAAAATAATACAAACATAATACATATGTAATCGAAACGATAATATCTTAATCATGGGTATTCCTGAATATATACAGTATACATGAGTACTAAAGTACAAAATATAGATTGTCCGGATTAGCGAGTCTCTACTGTGTATTTTTATTTTTATTTTGTATATTTTATGCTACTTGTTACCTGTTGGTGGCATTTGTTCATTCTGTAGTAGGATTGTGTATAAGTTATTGAACACATTTTTTCAGTTATTTGTATAAATTATATATTTTATACTAAATGATAAAAGTTTAAAATGCTGTAATTTATAAATTAAAATTAGTAATATTTCATTTTTATTTTTTCAGATGATTTAAATTATGGAGTGTTTATAATATTTTTCACATTAATTATTACTATTTCCATGATTTATGGTGCCATCAAAGGAAAACCTAAGTTGTTAATTCCATTTTTTTGTATGCAATTGTTTGATTTATTTGTGACTATGTAAGTGAAATAAAATAGTATGCGTTTATTATTTATTTTTAATGATATTTTTATGAATGTATATTGTTATTTAAATTCTTACCCAAATACATATTGTATATACATATTATATATTTGTATGCATTTTATTTGCATATAATTAGCCAACATCTTTATTAAAAAATTTATTTTTTAGATTGTCGGCTTTTGGATATCTATGTTATTTGCCAGACTTCCATCGTCTCATGATCCGCACCGAATCTGAATATATGTCAAGTGGTATTACGTATATAAATCCACGATTTATATCATTTATAGTAATCTTTTCTTTGTGTGTTTCAATAATATCTAAGGTTTGTACATATATATATATATATAATTGATTTCATTTCATAATTTATAAGTTATAACACTTTTTGGAGTATTAGTTTTTTAAGTCTGTAGGTGTAATTATATGATAAACAAAATTGTAATAACATGAATATTGAATATTTTTATCTAATATGTACTTTCTAAGGTTAACACAAAATGCTGAGTCATTACAAAAATTTATGGTGCACAATGTATGCATGCAATTATTTATGAATGGGTAGGATTAAAATAAAATAAAAATATTAGAATGCACAGGTAGCTAATCTAGCGAAGCGTAAATTTTTTGAACACATCTAATGCAAATTATGCAATAATATAATATTAATGCAATGTAATGTCAGGTGCAGAAAATTTGTTAACAGAGTGTATTATTATATTTCATTTATAAATATGTTTTAAAATTAATTAAAAACTATTTTTTTTTAATGGTAATTTTATTTTCACAGAAAACCAATAACACTTTATTTTTAAATTTGTACAAGTTTTTTATATTTAATTAATTATTTTATTTTGTTTTAGGGATATTTTGTTGGCGTAGTTTGGAGTTGTTACAAGTATCTGACATTAAAACGTAGTTCAGCTCAACCAACTATTCATTATATAGAATCAAACTTTGTTGTTCAAAATCTTTTACGTCCGGACTATGATTTTAACATGAAAAAATTTCCTCCTCCACCACCTTCTTATGCTGTTGCTGTTGGAGAAGATAATGCTACCCATCCTGATGTACCCCCACCTGCATACAGTACTACTCATTAGAGCAAAATTCAAGAAGATATTAATATATTATTTCTAGTTGTAAAACATGTCTTTAATGTACCTAACATTTGAGTATAAAAAAAAAATATATATATACATATATAAAATATATTACTTATCAGTATAAATTAATAATAAACTAGTCCCCTTGGAAAGACTGGAAGAAATTTGTTATGAAAACCAATAGATAAAAACGCTAAATCAAATGTTTAATCATCTTATATACAAATACAATCTATTGTTACTTTTAATCCTGTTGTATAAATTGATTTGAAATTTTATGTAATTTTTATTATATTATGGTGCAAGTGTTAGTTAATCTTCTTAAGTGTATTTGTCTTATTATTTTTTAATGATCACAATTTTAATATAATTGATTTAATAATGTCTCATATTCATAAATAGCACAATACAACTGGTATTTGTTAAATTATTGTATTATTAATTGAAATGATTCGATTTAAAGTTCCTTGTTACTTGGCTTTATAAAAAAATAATATAATGTTTGGAAAACCCTTATTTTCAATGAAGTCATTATAAATGTTTAGTAATTATTGTGATTTCATAAAATAAAAAAACAGCATTTAAATTCAGTTTTAATTTAGAAATCACTGTCAAGTAGTATCCTATGGCATATTTTTATATAATATTTTTCAAAAACAATTTAGCAAGTGTGATATGATGTATTATTTTTAAACAAAGAAAAAAATAAATTGATTAATATCAACTATTTCATGATTTTTTATTGATTTAATTTTCATGTTGTAACTTGTAATAGACATTAAATGTCCATCACGCATTAAATACATATTATATTTTATCTTTTATGAAATTAAAAATATAAAATATTTCATACTAAGAGTAATATTATTGAGTTAGTAAATATTATTTATTGAATCAATGATAATATTTAAATTCATAACATACTGGTACATCTAAATTCAACCCAAATTTGAACTAGTCACATTTTGACACTCATCTACTGCTAATACACGTCTTAATAAAGCAATAAGTAACACAACTATTAAAAGTAAAATCGTATATGCAATTAATTAAAAGAACATTTTTTTAATATTTGCATGGATACCTGGTCACAGTTGATACTGCGATATTCAATGAAATGAAAAGGTGGATCCGTGGATCGGCTTGCTTCATAGTAAATATAAAGCAATGGACGTTGATAAATGTATCTGGAATATTAAATCAAGTAAAGGCATAAAAAATAATAAACTAATAAATGCATTAGTCTTTTAATGTTAACTGATGTTTGGCATTTCCTCAATTATTTATTTTTTAAAAACGCCACAGTGGCATAATAATGTCCATTGTTGTGTTGTTAACTTGTCTATTTCTGTGATACCTGAAACAATGCAAATAAATTATTGTGTGAACAATTTAACAACCATCCATTACCAAGTACCAATTTTATGATATTTGTTTTATTAAATTAAATTTATTTTTCGGTCAGACATTATAAATACAGTAAAAAATTAATTTTTGTTAAACAAATTGCATTAGACTTCGTCATTGTGTGTATACAATTTAATCACATAATACTTTAAAAGTTTCAAGAACCCACAAATAATATTTTTAAATTACAAAAAAGTACCCAACTAAAATCATTTTTCTTTGTTTAAATATCAAATTTTGTTTAAAAATATGTATAAAAAAAGCGGTTTTTTATCTTAGATTTTTGGTTAAAATGAGAACTACTTTATGAGAAACATGGTTTAAATTTTCAAATTTTAGATATAAATAGAGAAAGTGTATATTGTTTTGTGTATATTTATAGTAAATAATCTAAAAAAAATTGTAAATGTCTTATGAATAAATCAAAATGAAACAACATTTTTTGAAAGTTTCATCATGTACTTACAGAAAATAATATACTAAACATTGGTAAAAAAAAAACAATTATCTACTGTCATTCGTTTTTTAATTGCGATGAAATATGAAAACCATTCGACAAGAACTCGCTAATTTACGGATGAATATCCAATATCAAAAAAATATGAACCTTACACTTACTGTAATGCTTATAAAACATTAGTTTGACTTTTTTTATGTTAAGGAAGGATATAACTGATATAAGACAACTTATGGGAAACCTTGTATCGAATTTTCAAATCTTAGACTAAATAGAAACATTTTTATGGATTTCTAACTTAAAATAATTTACGAATTTTCTTGATTTTGACTAGATTCGTCAACATTCTTACTTCAGACGATCATAAAAAAATATTGTTGATCTACCCTGGGTAACATTTTTTTTTAATTTCCACTTAAAATAACTTATGAGAAATCTTGTATTAAATTTTTAAGTTTTTTGAAACATTTTTTATTGGCGATATTTAAGAAAAAAACTAATAAAAATCGAAATTTTCTCATGTCTATTTATAGCTCAAAACGAGACAAAATATTTTTGAAATTGTAAATTATATATAAAATACTAGAAGATGAATTTGTTGAAAATTTCATGTATTTACAGTTTTTTTTTCACCAAAATCCAAAATAGAATTTTTTAAAAACTAATTTTGAGTCACTACAAAAAAATTTACCTTCTAAATAAATATTGAAGCAATAAAAGTGCTTCAAAGGGAGAAAATATTCAAAGAAAACATTTTATAAAGTAGCTACTCAAATCAGATATTTTGAAAGAATGAATTTCACCTATAATACTAACTAAATATTGTATTTGTTTTAAAATAAATATTGATCATTGATGTAATAAAGTTTCTAGTAAAATGTCTGAATAACCCTAGCTTTAACATTAAAGTATAGATTATAATCACAATGTAGCCATGTAGGTATGTAAATTGTATAAAGCTAGAAAAATATCCATTAATTTAATTTATTTTAAAGTAATCTTATTGTTGCAGTGCTGTAATAGGTACAGTTAGTTTTTATTTAAATATGGATTTTTTTTTTTTAAGTTTAATGTAACAATTTTCAGTAGAATAAATTTTCCATGAACTTTATGTTGTGTGGGTGCACCCATCAGTACTGAGTGAATAAAATATGTTGGTGGTGCAGTTGAAATTTGTTTTGCTGGCCAATAGCTCGAGCCGCCGTTGTAACTATTGTAAGAATTACATTAATGATTTAATGTTATAGGTCAGAGGTATTCAAACTTTTTCATCACACGGCTCCTTTAAGTCTTCACAAAATGTTGACGGCTCCCAAATTATAAATGACAAAAAAATCAATGTTTATATGAATGTAATTTATATTTTATTATTTATTTCTATTATTTATTTACCATATTACATAAATAAAAAAATTAAAGCTAAATTTAGCGAATGATTGTTGTAGACAATTCAACGTTTCCCAACCGGTGTGCCTCAATGATAATAGTAAGCCATTTTCGTAAAAATATTTATTGGTTTTCAATAAATTATACTACGCGGCTCCCTTCGACAACTCCCGCGATGCCCCTGGGAGCCTCGACGCACAGTTTGAATACCTCTGTTATAGGTAATTTTAGCTCTCAATAATAATTAGGTAACAGGTATTAAAAAGGGCGATTCGATCATGATATTTTTCTCGATAAAATTATTTTGGTGTTTGATTATATAAATATATTAACACAACCAAATTTAATCTGCAAAAAATTAAAAAGTTGCAGGAAACTGTAAAACAAGCTTAAAAAACCCAAAAAGTGAAATACAAATTAATGTCCTATACTTTAAATTACCATGGTTTACCAATTATCATTTGAAAATAAACCATTTTATAAATATATCTAGCTGGTACTTTTTTAATTACAAAAAATGAATTGTAGATATATATAGGAATCTGTAACCTATAGGTACCTACCTAACTGGAAATGTTCATAATTTATTTAATGAAATTATTAAATCAAAAAATATATCCAAAATCTCCCCCTGTACTTACAGCCACATATGGGCGCAACTAGGGGGCAGTATTGTATTAGGTCTTATTAGTTGGTACTTGATATTATAGTTATTTTATATTTGGCCATGTTTTAGGTACAAGGTACTTTATACACTTGTACATCGTGGTTTCGTACACCTGTCACATTTAGATCCATTGTATGGCACACCGTTTAAATTTAGTTGTTGTGGATGTATGTACTTCAATTAAGGTATAATATTAATAATATTTTATTATATATTATATTAACAGAAGGTATCATTTATCAAATTATTTAAATTTAAATTTAGGAGGCTCGTAATATATTTAATACCCTTGAAGCTGTCTATGTTCACTTTTCAAAGCCTACAAACAATATTAAGCTATGTGAAGTACAAACTAAATTAGGGTTGAAAAACGGTTCTGTTTAACTTTGCCGTTTTAAAAACTGTAAAGCCATTATTGATAATTCTGTTGCTATTGTCGATACACTTAAAATTGAAATTGAGGATCAAGCTGATAAGAATATGCTTCAGGCTATAGGTAATTGTTATTTTCAACTGTATCATAACAAATGTAATTTTTTTTAATTTTTACTTTTTAATAATAATAAACTTTTTCAAATAGGAATTCTTACTTCAATAGGAAAAAGTGAATTCATTGTTTTAGTTTTTATTTTGCATGAGGTCTTAAGTATAATAAATGTATTGAGCAACCAACTACAAAATATTAATACTACATTAGAAAAGTCAGTTAATATTATTAATGGAGTTATATCAACATTTAAAAGCCTAAGATCTGATGAATCGTTTACTAACCTTTGGACAAGAATTGAAAAATTTTCTGAGAAAAATGAAATAGATTTTCAAATTCCAAAAACAGGTAGGTATATTTTTTTAACTAATATATTTAATTTAAAATAATAATTTATAAAAATGAGTAACTTAATATGTTTTATTTAGGGTCAAAACGTAAACGAATTCAGCCAAATAAATTGAACGTTATATTTTATATTATATGCTATATTATATTAAAAATATTTTTTGTGTAATAATTTTTTCATCATAAACAATGGGGGGGGGGGCTCTCATGTGCTATAGATTTTAGCACTCCCATACATTTTACCCTATAGTTGCGCCCATACAGCCACATATTAAAAGTTATTTGTATTTATTAAATAAATTATTAAAACATGAAAATAAACATTGTTTCAAAGAGGAGATGACGCAGGTGTCTTTATTGGGAGCACTTACCAAGAAGGTAAGCTAAATGTATCTATTTAAATGTGTTCTTTATGTCTTATACACCTACAATTAGTATTCGTTTGAAAAAAATGGCTTCAAAATGGTTCCTAAAATAAAATTTACGTTTGTGCATAATTTAAAATTTAATATACAAAAATGTGCAATGAAATATTTATTTTGAAAATAACTCGTACGATACTAATTTATTATTTGTTTATACTAGCTAATCAAAGTAACATCTGTTTTATATACTTTTGCTTAACTTTTGGGTATTAAAATTGCTTTCCTCGGAGTTTTTGCTATAGTAAATTTA